ATCACACTACTAACCAGAGCATACAAAACATTTGCTAGACCAATACTTGAATACAGTTCATCAGTCTGGAACCCACACTACGTATCTGATATTAGCACAATTGAGAAAGTCCAGAAATATTTCACAAGAAGAGTTCTCCACTCCTCTACTCGTTGTAGAATACCTTATGCCACCAGACTTGAAATTCTAGAACTTGAAAACCTTGAATTACGCCGTCTTCGGTCTGACTTAAGCATGGTATATAAAATCATACATTGCAATGTCCTACCTGTCAATGAATACTTCAGCTTCAACCATAACAACACAAGAGCACACAATAGATACAAACTCAAAGTAAACCGCACCAAACTTGATTGCAGGAAATACGACTTCAGCAATAGAGTGGTCAATGTCTGGAATACTCTACCCGACTCTGTAGTTTCTTCCCCAAACCCCAAAAACTTTAACCTAAGACTGTCTACTATTGACCTCACCCCTTTCCTAAGAGGTCTGTAGGGGGCGTGTATAAGCGCACCAACGTGCCTACCGTCCCTGTCCTATTGTTTCTCTTATTCTTTTATTTTTCTTATATGTACCCATTTCATGTATTCACAACTATGTATACATTTATACTTATTATCTTGTAAACAATTGGCAAATCAAATAAATAAATAAACAAAGCAGCTCAGTCAGCCTCAAGGACCCCACGGTTCAACTTGAAGCTACAAATATTATATTCTATTGGGAGGGAGGGAGAGGGGGAGGTTCTTTAGAGGCAGGTCCACCCTATACTATACTAACAAGAAGGAAAACAAAGGATGAAGGCAGCTGAAATGTTTCTTTTCGCAATGGAGGATTCTCTGGGCAGCCTCGGGAGGGTTGTATTCTCTTCACAAAGCCGTGGGGAAAATCGGGAGTCTTTTTTTTGTCGCTTTGCAAACTGGTAATCCTCCAGTTCCGCTTAGAGGGCAACGGACGTTTTGTACATGCAGATACTTTCATTTTTAGTTGCGTTTTCATTTCAAGAGACATGTGGCCGTCTAAGCTGAGTGGAAGAAAACGGCGGTAATTGTTGGAGCAGTTGGGGCTGGCCTAGAACTCTCCAGGTATTTGGGGCTGGGGAGGAAGCGGAGATGGGGGGTTTCCCTCCCTCCCTTCGGTCTCCCAGGCGTTGTTTGTGTCCAGTTGCGAAGGTGATGGGTGCGGGGAATGGCTGCTTCCTGCTGTGCCTTTGCAATTTTGGAGAAACGGAATTATTATTTGGGAAAGGATTCCAGTTTCTAGTAAGCAATTTAGGCTAAGGATTTCTTTGTATCGGAGGGTTTGAGTGGAGAACACTGTTGAAAGAGGCTGTGGGACCTTGCAACGTGTCCATCCAAGAGATATTGGCATACTTCATGGTTACCAGTGGCAAAAGCTACTACAATAGCAGTGGGTATTAGTTGCATTAGTGAAAACAGTATTTCTCAGTTTCTCTTGAAAAAAAACTACCGACATACTAGTTAAAATAATTGGTATAGTAATATATAGTAGTTAAGAGTAATAATAGAATTATATGTTCTATGTTTTCTCCAAGGGTTCAGGAGATGATTTTAGGAAATTAGGACAAACTGTGGATACAGATGGTCACTGGAATGACTAAAAATAAATGAATAAAAAGTGTTGGTCTGTACATAAAAATCACATAGAAGTTATAAGATCCTGCCTGAGTCTCCGCTATAGTTTTTTTTCTACTGAAATTATGATTTGAGAAAGGAATATGGACCTAATTTCTTGTCAGTAATTCAGGAGAAGTGTTTTTCTCCTGTGTTACCTGTGGATTGGTGTTTGTGAATATTGCTATATGGAAAGTTTTTTCAATTAACCTAGCCTTCAGATTCTCTGATAGACTTTCATCCGTCTTAGATTTAAAAGATCAATTTGGATTCTCAGTTGAATTCAACCCTTTTGATGTCAAGTGGAAAATGGAATGTTGATTTTACCAAAAAAGTTGCCTAATTTATTGATAGCAATTAAAAAATTGCATCAGAAATTATATTCTGCCGCACACTTTTTAAGAGGATGTATCCTACATCTAAAAAGAGATTCTTTGAAATTAGTAACAATTTCCAGCTTCTGTAAGCATCTTGACCCTCCTTGTGACAGATCCATTTCTAATTTCAGATCAGACAAATCCAGGAATGTTGAATATGGATGTCAAAAATCAGCTGTTGGGCCCTCCTCCCAATGGATGTACATCTGAACAAGAAAAAGAACCAGGTATTAATAAACAATATCAAGATGTGGAAGCTAGTCACCCAATGAAGGATTGAAATAGCCAAGCCATAGGAGCATATAGAGACATGTATCATGTTCCCAGTTGGACTTTGAAAACTTTCTGCTAAATTTTAATGTTTCATGGGGCAGAAATAGAATAAAATGTCATTATAGAGCTAAGGAGCCATCCTACTAAGCTTTAAGATGTCATTTACATCAAATGTTCAATAGAGAGCAAGAGACAGCAGGAAGTCTGCACTGAGCATGCAAAAATACAGATTTTACTATGAACCTTCTGGGCATGTTCCTTGTCCAGGATGTTCCAAAAAGGAGAAGAGGAAATGGATTTGTTTCTGGGACTGTGTGCAGTTTAGCTCAAGCAGTTGAACGTCAGGGTGGTTTTATCCTGCCTTTTTTGCAAACATTTCATGTATTTCTTCTACTGCATCATTCATTTTATTTATTTCTTCAATTCCTATAGCTGCCCTACTCAATCAAGTGGCTCCAAGTGGCTTATAACTAAAATTATAGAACCATTAATAGAGCAGAGAAAGTCTATCTTCTAGTTCCTGCCAGTCAACACTCTTTGGTTGATGGGAAGTACAGCTTACCCAATCCTGGTTCGCCAGACTTGACTTTATTTTATGTTTCAATCTTCTGAACCAGATGAAATGCAAATATAGTCTGGAACATCAGCTTTAGTTACATAAATGCCTCCAGATCCATCGTGGACATTGAGGGAGGAAGGGAGGGAAAAAGGAAGGAAGAGAGGCAAGTACTCCTAAATAGTTTTATTTGCTCAATGAGAACTTTGTATCTCAGTTTCTTTTCATCAGAGTCAGACTGACATTTTAGTTGACTGGAGAAAAAGTATTGAGTTTGGAAATTAAAAAACAAAAGAAAAATCTTAGCAATTTAGAAATTTGTATATTTTATTTAGGGATTTCAGCTCAAGGGGAACCATCAGTATCCAGATTTCTCTCTACCTTCCTGTAGTATAGAAGATGAATGCTGATGAATTTTGTTTCTCTTCCTTTTCTTCATGCAGCTCGTGTCAAGGCAATCCAACTGAAATTATGGTCAATTTGTGATAGACACAAAAAGACAATAATTGGAGTTGGAATCATTTCTCACCTCATCTTAAGCAGCATCCTCTTTTTCCTGGGTAAGAAATCTTGATCCTCATACTTCTCCCTTGAAGTGCCTGCTTCTCATGTGACTTCATGAAGCTGAATGACCTCTGCAGTTAGATCAGAAACATAGAGTTGGCCTTGCCCTGGCTTTTATATACTCTAATCCCCTTCATCCAGTACAGGAAACTTCAGTTCCCATGTTTTGGAGATGTCTCAGTGTTTGAAAATTTAAAAAAAACACATGCATTTCTTCATTTACTGATTTCCTGCCAGAAGCAGTAAACATGAAGCAGGTGGATCAAATGTGAGGCAGGTTGACTACATTAATTGGAAAAATCCCACAAAAAGATTCATGGCTGAATAAGTGGATTTGCATCTGGTTTCTTGGATTCAAATCCAGCATGCAAATCACTGCTCAGATCCATAGTCTCTATTAATCTGAGAATTGCAGGACAGAAGCTGTTAGAACATGGGGCTTTTATAACCAGATTGGGTTTTCTTAGAACTATCAGGTTCTAATTCAGCAGGAGGGTCCCATCCTAGCCATAAGAACAGGACTGGATAAATTAGTGTCTATTCTTTCCATCTTTCTCTGTTCTAGGAACATTAATGCCATTAAAACACCAACAGGAAGCCTTTGATTGTCCACCTGACTGGATTTCATATTGGGAACACTGCTACAAACTTTCAAGAGAAGAAAAGAACTGGAAGGAAAGCCAGAACTTCTGTATTTTGCATAATGCTTCCCTAGCCAAAATTACAGAGGAGGAAATGGTGAGCAACGTAAATGGTTTAAATGGTTTAAATTAGTTCCCAAAAATAATGTTGCTTCATAGATGGTGCGTGCTGTTCTACAACATGAAAAAGTTAAAAGGATTTTCTCCTGATATTACTAAAACAAATCTCCTTAGATGCCTTTCTGAACAAAAGCTTCAAGATCCTTTGAATTTTTTCGAGGTTCCAAAATCTTCCAGTTTCACAAAGCAATAGGGTAGGATAGGATAGAATTCTTTATTGGCCAAGCGTGATTGGACACACAAAGAATTCGTCTTGGTGTAAATACTCTCAGTATACATATAGAAAAGGTACATTCGTTAAGAATCAAGAATCATAACGTACAACACTTAATGACAGTCATAGGGTACAATCAACAATCAAATCATACTAGGAAACAGTCCAAATAAATCGTAAGGATACAAACAACAAAGTTACAGTCCTACAATCACAAGTGGGAGGGGATGGGTGATAAGGAGTGATGAGAAGATTAACAATAATAGTAGTGTACACTTTGTAAATAATTGAAGTGTTGACGGAATTATTTGTTTAGAATGATGGCATTCGGGAAAAAACTGTTCTTGTGTCTAGTTGTTCTGGTGTGCAGTGCTCTATAGCATTGTTTTGAGGAAAGGAGTTGAAACAGTTTATGTCCGGGATGTGAGGGGTCTGTAAATATTTTCACAGCCCTCTTTTTGACTCGTGCAGTATACAGGTCCTCGATGGAAGGCAGGTTGGTAGTAATTGTTTTTTCTGCAGTCCTGATTACTCTCTGGAGTCTATGTCCGTCTTGCTTGGTTGCAGAACCAAACCAGACAGTTATAGAGGTGCAGATGACAGACTCAATAATTCCTCTGTAGAACTGTATCAGCAGCTCCTTCGACAGTTTGGGCTTTCTGAGTTGGCGCAGAAAGAACATTCTTTGTTGTGCTTTTTTGATGATGTTTTTGATGTTAGGTGTCCACTTCAGGTCATGTGATATAGTAGAACCTAGAAATTTGAAGGTCTCTACTGTTGATACTGTGTTGTCTAGTATTGTAAGAGGTGGTAGTATGGGAGGGTTTGTTCTAAAGTCTACCATCATTTCTACGGTTTTGAGTGTGTTCAGTTCCAGATTGTTCCGGTTACACCACGAGGCAAGTTGTATAACCTCCTGTCTGTATGCAGATTCATCGTTGTCTCGAATGAGACCAATCGCTGTTGTGTCATCAGCAAAACTGTTGACATAGAAAATTTGAAATAAAATAAAAAAATATTGGTCCAAACATCATTGAAATAAATCAGTCACCTGCTTCTTTCATCTTTTTACTGCTTAGAAACTTGAACTCATAATGATCCCCAGATGCTTAAACCACGTGAATTTCAGAGGCTAGAATTAGGAACCCAAAAGTAAAATTTTAGACATTGCCAAGATTCTTTTAAGGAAAATCAGGGTTTTACTTTTGTATAAAAGGTTTAAATGTTACTTCAAAAAAAGTTAGCTTTAGTCATTTTAGCCTATATGTTAATTCAGAAATTCCACCGGGAATCTAGCAATGCAACATTTTAACATGCATGTTTTTATTTTAAAGGATTTTATGAGGATGTTAACAAGAGACCACGTCTTTTGGATCGGCCTCAAGAGAGAACCAAATCAGCCCTGGAAGTGGCTAGATGGAGAAAATTCAACGTGAGTCTCTTCCTCTTTCCCTTTCAATTGGCAAAAGCTGAAAGCTAAATGCCTCTGCAGAGGCTCTCCCCAGCTCAGGACTGATCCTAGAAAGAGCCCCCTGGCCGCCACTATTCAGGCATTGCCCCCTAAAAAGATTTGGCCCTGCTAATGTAACTCAAAATGCATTATGGGTAGTCCTTGACTTACAGCCATTCATTTAGCAATGATGTAAAATTTTAACACACTGAGAAAATTGACTTATGATTTATCCTTCCAGTACAACCATCACAGCATCTCCATAATTACACAATCAAAATTTGGGTACTTGGCAACTGGCATGTATTTATTTATTTGGAAAAATTATGTGATGCTCATGGTGATTCTGGCAGTTTACAGAAATAAAACAATACTAAACCCAATAAATTCCCACCCTCCTAGTGACCACAATCAAACCAACCACATGATCGGCTCCATATCACCCTGGGGTCCCCAGATCTCTTGGCAAAACAGTTACAATGGTTGCAGCCTCCTGGGGTCATGTGATTGCCATTTGCGATCTTTTCAAGAAGCAAAATCAATAAGGAAAGCTGGATATTCTTAAAATCGTTTGATTCATGCAACAACTGCAGTTATTCGCTTAACAAGTGTGTTTAAAAAAGGGTTATAAAATTGGGCACAACTTGCCTAACAGCTCCTTTGTTTAGCAATGGAAATTCCAGTCCACATTGTGGTTGCAATTGGGGACTGCCTGTAGAAGTAGCATGGTCAGAGTGGTGGGGGGGGGAGGCTGAGCTCCTGGGATGTAGATGTATTGCACGGTCAACACTTCCAAATAGGTGAATTGGGGAACAATCTGCAGAGTCATCTTTGAGAAGGCAAGACTCAGCTAGACGAACTGTAAGTTCAGGACCCCTTTGGTACTGCTAGGTGGGAAATACCCTCCACTGCCTAATTTCTGGCTCGATTGCAGGTTGGAAGCCACAGGAAATGGAGGGGACTGTGTGTATTTGGATGATGGTGCCACCGCCAGCTCAGGGAAGTGCACCACTGAACACCGCTACATCTGCAAAAAAAAATTGAGCCAAGCACATTCTGTTAGAGAATCCATTCTGTAAGATGGAATCAGGAAAAGTAAGATTACTGTGGAAATGAATAAAAGTCCCACATGATAAGCAGGAAAGCTAAATGTGATTTGAATGGAAGAGACTGGAACATTGTCATTGATGATAATAAATGTGATTCAGAAGCAAAGGGGAGACAGCTCCATTTATTTTAGTTTATAAACTCTATGTGGATTATAGAAGTTTTTTGGGTTTCATTTGTCTCAGTATGGTAGACGATGAATAAAATGGGGGAAAAAATACATTTAACACAATGTTTGATAGAGCCTCCATGGACTGGCATGGTCTATCTCATGTGGTGAACCTTTTCAGCACAAGTGCCCAAACCGGAACTTGCGTGCATGCGTGTGCATGCGCGTGCCAGAGTGCATGTCGGAATGCCAGAAACCCAAAGACCAGCTGGCCAGTGCACACAGGCCTGTGTTTTGGCCATTTTCAGGCCATTTTTCGGGCCATTTTCAGGCTGTTTTGGGGCCAAAAACAGCCTGAAAAATTGCCTGAAAATGGCCCCAAAACAGCCTGAAAAAGGCACAGAAACAGCCTGGAAACAGCCTGAAAATGGCCCCAAAAATGGCCTGGTTTTTGGCAGGTTTTGGCCATTTTTTCGGCTGTTTTCCAGTCCCTGAAAACAGAATTCCACCAATAATTAGGGTAATTAGTTAGCTTAATGTTCCAAATCTCTCCAGGATAATTCTCTATGAGCAGCCATTTTTGATCATGAGGCACAGTGGAAGCTACTAGAAAATGGCCGCCTCTACAAAATGGCGCTCCCACCAATTTTAACCGTGGCTGGAGTCTCCTTGCGACAGGCACTACAGCTTTGCTAAGGCTAGAAGCTGGTTGCCTTTACAAAATGGCACTCCCGCCAATTAACCATTGCCATGTTATTTTTTTACTATTGCAGAACCACGTTGTGGCAGTCCCAACAGCTCTGCTTAGACAGCTCTTCCTTACGTAATCTTTCTGATCTTGGTCCGAATGATCTCACCTTCAGCTGTTCGTCGCGAGGAAGCTGCTCGGCGTTAGGAAACAAGGCGAAACAAATCGTCTTTTGTGCACGAACTACTGAGCTCTCCCTTACCTGGGCAGGCTACTGAGTTGGCACAAGGTGTTGCTTCAACGCCCCCAAAACCCTATTCCAGGTTTTTGGGGACGATCCTGTAAGCTCCGAGCTGAAGAAGTCTTTGTAAATGCAGAAGCTGTGAAATGAAGGCTTGCGACACCAAAGGCACCGAGGCTTCGAGAAGCCTATTGTGCTGATAGTCCCTTAAGGACTGTTGTGTGGATAGTCCAAAATAACAAATATTAACAAAAATATAAATTTGTTCAATAAATAAGAAAGGATTCAGTGGGCAGGTGCATTGTTCCAATGGGAGATCTCTCTTCAGGTTTCTTCCTTTGAAAGTAAAAGGCACAGTGTGAATCCTCTGAAAGCAGCTGGAATAGTTGAGCCTGACAAAACTGATAAACCACAAGGTTGAAATAATTCCTAGCAGATTTATATAAGAGGACAATAATCCATTAAACCTCAGACTTACATGATTCCCTGTTTATTGTGTTTCATTTTAGAAAATTAAATTCTGCTTCTTAGCCTTTACTTAAACAAGATGTGCCCCAGCAAAAAACCAGTTGTCAGGCAGCCAAAATAATCTCCAAAAAGATAAAAGCCACACCTGGGGTCTGTTTTGGAGCTCTGTTCCGGCAGCCTCCCCTCCATTCTCTCCACCAGCAATCTTGCCTGACAGCTTCTCTCTTTCTGGGGAAGGTGGCAGAGATTACAATGGCAATCACACAATCACAGGGCATTTGGCAACCAGTTGGAAATGCAAGCTGGTGTGCTTATTGTGTGTGATTGGATAGTGCAGTGGTTTATAATGTCCAGCAGTGACTTCCTGCAGCCATTGTGAGTTTAAATGGTCACTGATCAGATTTGTGTCAGAGTGACCATGATCAGAGTAATCACAATAAAATCTCAGCCAGAGCAATCATTGCCTTTCCTATTCAAAATAAAAGACTTCTTATGGGTTTGCCATTAACTTTCTTGCTGTTTCTCAAGAACAAATTGTGTTTGTCTTCTTGAATGTCAAGCCTTTACAGCTGCTTTTGAAGCAAAGCTTCTAACCACTCCATGTTCCTTTGAAGTGATTTACAATTTTGAATCTTGCAACTCTGCTTCCTGAGACTAGAGATGAAGGAAGTTGACAACATAACTGTTTGTATAAGTTACCTGGTAGAGAAACTTCACCGAAATCTTACTCATGTGTACAAAATCCTGACTTTGGAGTGGTGGGATTCAAATTTTTTTACTACCTGTTCTGTGGGCATGGCTTGATGGGCATGGCAGGGGAAGGATACTGTAAAATCTCCAGAAGTGGTATTTTCCGAACAACTACAAAATTTCCACTACCGGTTCTCCAGAACTCGTGAGAACTTGCTGAATACCATCTCTGCTTTGGACTCTTTGGATGGGTCCTCCTTTCTGGGAGATGGAATCCATTTAATAAGGGCTACTTTTTATATTTTAATCTGCTGGGTGAAGCCCTTGCCATCTTCTTTGGAAGCCAAAGCAGTTGAATTCACTGCCTTAATTCATGTTTGATGTATTGCCAGAGACAAAACTGTTAATATCTTCACTAACTATGAATATTTTTGTTTGCTTTGCTCCAAGTGCCTGATGGAAATTGAAAAAATTACCTCAGGCTGCCAGATTGCTCACACAGACCTGGCCGTTTCACTTTGAGACCCGCTTTTGGAGCATTGATTTCCTGAACAGGCTGCACAGTCAACAAAGAACCAGAATTTCTGCGTCAATCAAATACCTGCAATATTTTCCCTCAATTTATAATGTAGCATAAGGTTCCCCTCTTATATTAGAACATTCAGTCGACAAACTTCTAGCTTTATTAGCTAGTTCTTTTCCCTTCCCATATAGACATTCAGTTATCAAGACTAATACAGGCGAGGAGCTAGCTGTACAGAACAGAACAACAAGGACTCCCTGGAAGGACTCCCTGCTCAAGCAGGAAATCCTGTATTATTTCAGACAAATGGTTGTCCAATGTCTTCTTTAAAAACCTCCAGTGTTGGAGCACCCACAATTTCTAGAGGCAAGTCGTTCCACTGATTGTTTTAACTGCCAGGACATTTTCCCCGTAGTTCTAGGTTGCTTCTCTCCTTGATTAGTTTCCACCCATTGCTTCTTGTCCTGCTTTCAGGGTCATTGGTGTATAGATTAACCCCTTCTTTGTGGCAGTCCTTTAGATACTGAAACACTGCTATGCTATCATGTCACCCCTATTCCTTTTTTCCTTAAACTATTGAAAACTAAACCCCAACATTTAGGGTCAGAAAACAAGCGCCGATTGCTTTGCCTTGCTCTACTAGGACAATACCTCTCCAATTTCTCTTTTCTACACATAGTCTCATCTTCACTTTTTAAGGAAAAAAAAAAGAGTGAAAAGAAAAATGCTGTTTTCAAAAAAAGAAATGATCAGGTAAGAAAAAGGGAGAAACTGAAGTGAACACTTGCATATCTGGCAGAGTTCTGCCAAAGGTTGACTTCTTTCAGCATGAGAGAGAACTCTACTATCAGTCATAATGAACAGAGAATTCAAAATGTACCTATGGCAAGATTGATTTGATGTTCAGTAATTTTTTCCAAACCCATAAATCACTTTGAGGGAAAACTCCACTGAGCTAGGTAGCTGGGCAATCAGAGTTAAAATGAAGTAAAATTAATCCAAATAGTTTAGAATTAAGAAATAAGCACCTAACACGCACAAGCTAGTGGAAAGTTTACTAAATTGACAGCTATACACCAGTTTAACCTACTAATTAAAGAGTAGGGATGAAAATTAATGTACAGGGTAGCTGTCTACTGGGAAAGAAGTCTAGAAAGAGCTTCCAAGAAAGTGATAAAAGCTGAGGAAAATTGATGCATAAGGATCCAGGAAAATTCAAGAGCCCATTAAATTTAGGTAAAAACAATAAGCATAAAAAGAAGTGTAGAAAAGCAAAGTTCTTGGACAATTGTTAAAGGTGCTCCAGAAACATCCATAGCAACTGGAAATAATGTTGTAATTCAACAGAAACCAATTTCTTACCACATTTCCCCGAAAATAAGACCGTCTTATTTATTTTTTTGCCACCAAGGTCTTATTTTCAGGGGATGTCATCCACTAACTTCACTTGTGCGTGTCGCTCCCAGCCTCCTTTTCACTGTCAGAGGCCTTCAGGAACTTATTCTTCTGCGGCGGTCAAGGCTTTCCTGGAGGCCTCTGCAGTCGATAACAGAACTCCAGATCGACCCAGAGCTTTGTTATCAGCTACAGAGGCCTTCAGGAAAGCCTTGCCAGCCTTACTGGCTGCAGAAGAAATGGGCCAGTGAGGCAGGTGTCAGGGTGTGCAAGGCCTGGCTACAACTGTCCAAAGGTAAGTAGTAGGGCAGCTTCACCCCCCCATCCCCACCCTAGCTTAATTTTTACTCATGCACTCTGGTCGGCGGGATCTTAATTAGGGCTTATTTTGGGGGGGTAGGGCTTATATTGGGCGCCCATATAAAAATCAAGCTAGGACTTACTTTCAAGGTAGGCCGTATTTTCAGGGAAACAGGGTAGTCCTGAAAATGCAAGACAAGTGAAATCTTGGTACAAACTCAAAATTTAATTTAATGCATGTGAAAGTACTCAAAAAAAAAAAAAAAATCCAGAAAGGAGGAAGGACAAAGAGTTTTCTGTAGAAACATTACATTGTATTCCCCTATTATTGTTGTACTCCTCCTCCTCTTGATATTCAATTAACGGGAATTTTTGTAGAGGCTAAAGGGGGGGGGGGGGCTTTGAGCCCAAGAGTAGATAGGAAAAGAGTAAAGAGCAAGAGCAAATAGGCAAAACTCACGCACACTTCGAACAAGTTTAGAACTTTCTCTTTACAATTCAAAACACTTTCTCAACATTACACGCACAAACAAATCTGCACAAATACCAACAGATGGTGTGCTAACATTGCCAAACACTACCACCTGTAACACACAAACCCTTTGGAGAAACAGCTATAATCCGCTCAGGTGGACCAGGTCAGGTATTTGAGAAGGTGCTCACTTTGAAGTTTTATCTTTGGGATGACCTGTCGACTGCTCTTTTTTAAAAAAAAAAAAGCGAACAGATGCTGGGTCAATTTGGTCAAATCTGGCCCTAGGTTCTGCCTTTTCCAATAAACAACCGAGTCACAAGATCATTGAAAAGCAATTTAATAGAGTAATAAAGTGGGATCTTCCAATCAAAAGAGAGAACTTTGAAACCCATTTTACATTCCCTTTTATAGTAAAGACATCAAACAAATGCAAGACAAAAAGTCAGCTAAATTCTCTTCCGATGGACAATAAATTAGGTCTGTTACATTTTCTTTGACTGCTTCTCTGACATTGCAGTATTTTATGTCAACGTATTTGTTTTTTCCTCTCTCACCTGTTGCCATCTGTATACACGTTATTAACTTAAAACAGTAATACATACAGTAATGGCCAAAATTGTGGAAACTTTTTGAGAAAAGTGAATTTTTATGCCATCACTACCAAATAGGGAGATCTTGGTCTCATCACTCCAAATAACACTGTTTCATTGTTCCTCTGTCCAGATAACACGGGTTTTAGCCCAGTTTAGTCCTTTCACCTTCCTTCTGCTCTGCGTATTTACAAAGCCAAAACTTTGGCTCAAACTCTTTACGGAATTTCCATATGGATACGGGGCTTCAAGGATTGTATTGAAAGAACCCAGGCTGTCTTTCTTAGAAAACTTCTGGGTCTTCCTCCTTGTGTTGGTTTTGCTCCGATGTACCTGGAACTGGGCACTCGATCAGTCGAATGTATGGTGTGGATTAACACCCTTAAATAGTGGTTTCGGGTGTTCTTTCTGGCAGTTCCTGGTAGCTACCTCTCCCTGGCATTTGCTGACTCTCATATTTCTCATTGGGAGAGGGAGCTGATGAAGAAATTACACCTGCTAGTTTTTACGGGGGATGCCCTGGGAAATTATGGCCTTAAGGACGCCCAATTTAGGGTAGTTCAACAGCTTGTGGACATTGACTTACAATATCTACGAGCCAGAGCTAAAAAAACTTGCTCCCCTCTGATCTTCAGCTAATTTAATAATTATGGACTGAGGATGGCTTCCTATTTTTACACTCTAAACCATTCCCAAGTTTGGAAGAGCTTTCTCCCTAGCTCGCTTTAATGTCTTGCCCTCAGCACTACTGGATGGGCGATTTAAGAGGCTCCCGATTAACGAGCAGCTATGCCTGTGACAGAGCTGAGGTTGAAACTGTGGAGCATGTCCTTTTATATTGTCCTATGTATAACGCAGGCATATCTAAGTTACTGTCTCTCCTTGAAACAGACCCTTCTAGACCCAATGTTAGTAATTTGTTCTTATATTGTCTAGGGCAGGGGTGGGCAAACTTTTTGGCTCGGGGGCCTCATTGACTTTTAAAATTTGACAGACGGGCCGCTACCTGGTGTCGAAATGCCTGTCATTACAAGTCAAAATCAAATGAATGCAGTTATTCAATCATTCACATCAAACCTTAATTCTGTACCAATCTTCGGCGGGCCGGATTAAAAAGACCAACGGGCCGGATGTGGCCCTTGGGCCGTAGTTTGCCCACCCCTGCTCTAGGGGATGGCTCCTCATACATCACTTCTCAGGTTTCCATTTTTTTTTTAAGAGCTGTAACCATCAGAGAACGCTGTAATTCCCCTTAGTCGTTTTTGGTGACCAATTGTTTATGACTAATTTTCCCATGTTCTTCTTTTGTTGTACTTGTGTTATTAGTAGTAGTATTAGTATTATTAGTATTAGTATTATTATTAGTATTAGTATTATTAGTATTATTAATATTAGTATTATTAGTATTAGTCCTTTCACCTTTGTTTGAGAGATAAAAGTGGCTTTTTTCATGGAATTCTAGATTTTAGACCAAATTCCTGCAGTCTGCGCTGAACAGACCTTGCACTCAACTTCACAGTGCATTGCACCATTTCATCCCAGATGATTTTCTTCGGTCACGTAGGCAGTCTCTGAATTCTTCTATCAATTTTGGCTACTACTGTATAGCTCCTTTCACTTCAATATCCAAATACTTTTAACAATTTTATATTTTCCTCTTTTGACCATAAAACCTCAGTTGAAAATATTAAAAACATCAGTTTAAAGACATTTTGGGATCTCATAAAATCATATTTTTTTTGCAAATGTAGCGGTGTGTATTGCTGCATGTCCCTGAGCCGGCAGTGCCATCATCGTTCAAATATGCACAGTTTCCTCCATTTCCCATGACTTCCAACCTGCAAAAGAGGCAGAAATTAGGCAGTGGGGAGAATTTCCCGCCTAGCGGGTACCAAAGGGCTTCTGAGTTTACAGTTCACCTAGCTGAGCCTTGTCTTGCCTTCTCAAGGATGATTTTGCAGGTTGTTCCCCAATTCAGCTAGGGGAAGCATTGACCTTACAGTGCCGCTGTGTCCCAGGAGCTCAGCCCTCTGGACTCAGTTTCAAGTGGAATTCTGAGCACACTATTTGTACAGGTCGTCCTTGACTTACAACCACAATTAGGACTGGAATGTCCATTGCTTAAGCAAAGCAATTATTAACTGGGTTGTGCCCAATTTTATAACTTTTTTTGCCACAGTTGTTGAGTGAATCAAATGATTTTAAACGGGTCCAGCTTTCACCGTTGTATTTGCTTCCTGGAAAGATCACAAGTGGCGACCTCATGACCCCAGGATGCTGCAACCATTGTAACTTTCTTGCCAGCAGACCTGGGGATCCCAGCGTGATATGGAGACCATCAATTGGTTGATTTGATTTGTTATCACTGTGGGGGTGAGAGGAGTTTATTTAGTTTAGTATTGTTGTTTTATTTCTGTAAGCTACCCAGAGTCACTATGAGTCAGTTGAGTGGCCATATAAATTTTCCTAACAAATAATTATGGGCTACTTGCCAAATTTTGACCATGGGGATACTAATGATAATTGTAACTGTGTGGATCAATCACAAGTCATTCCATTATAACTTCCAATGCTTGCTTTTTTTTTCAATTGATGAAAATTTGATTAGGAAAATATTATAATGTGCAGAAATGAATAGATTAACACTTGCAATTAAAGACAAGGAGCAATCCGAATATTATAAAGATATGGGAACTATTTTATCGATGGTTAGAGAAAAAACATGAAAGCTAGAAATATCTAATAGAGTAGCGAAATAAAGAAAATATCTTAATAGCATTAAACATGGTAAGAAGAGGATTGTTATGATAGATATATTATATATACCAGGGGCCGCCAACTTTTTGGACCTGAGGGACCACGAAACTCATAATTTTAAATCCCACAGACCACTAATATGAATTCTGATTGACTGATAGTGGCTTGCCGACATTGGTGGGAGAGAGAGAGAGAGATCTGATCTAACCGCGGAGGGCTGGTGGTGATGTTCCCTCACAAATACACAAACACAGAGGTCCGTCTCACACACACACATACCCTCCAAGGCAGCCACATTCCTAACCTGCTTTTCAGCTCTGTTCTCATGGGGAGGGGGAGAGAGGCGGTGTTCTGTGATCGGTAGGAAAATGGGGGGGGGGGGTTTCCTGCAGATTTTTTTTTGGGATTTTCCCAGGGTCTCTGTCTGCAGAGGAAAATCCCCCAAAAAGTCTGCAGGAAAATTCCCCACCCCGTTTTCCTATTGATCAATCGTTCTTTATTTGGGATCGCAGGATACCGTTTCCAGCTCTGTTTTCAGGAGGAGAGAGAGAGACTTTTGGCTTCATGCAAGGAAAGCAGCAGAAGTCTTTCTTTCTCCCCCCCAAACTCCGCCAGAAATGAGTCTTTGACGGCACAGCCACTTGGAGCAGGATGCCTTGCAGGGTCCCAAAGACTCATTTCTGGCGGTGTTTGGGGGAGAGAAAGAAAGACTTTGGTGCTTTCCTTGCGTGCAGCCAAAAGCAGAAGAAGAAAGAAGTGGAAAGAAGCAGCCCAGTGGCCAGGCAAGGCGTGTAGGGTGCGTTCCCCCCCTCCGCCCTTTCCCCCCTCCCCTCACTACCTCGTGCTGTTCACAATGCAAGTGACGCAAGCCTTGTGTTCCCACGCAGCCTGCATTAATTGCTTTGGGGGGGGGGGTGCTCTGGGGGTGACATTTCTCTGTGGACCACCAAAATTTTCTTGCGGACCACCAGTGGGCTGTAGGCCGCCAATTGGCGACCACTGATATCTACTAATAATAAGTGAAGATCTAAAGATGTTATCGTTATAGTGTGAGAGATATTATGTATATTAATAACAAGATAACAAAAGAGAACTAATATCAATGTAACGAATATGATAATAATTTTGATTATTGACGCACAAGGTATCTGTACCTAGACGACACACCGTTAAATGGAAGATGAATTGTTTGTACTTATAAAAAAAAAACTTTTATAAAAAATAACTTTCAATGCTTGCTAAATGAATGGCTGTAAGTCAAGGACTACCCATAATGCATTTTGAGTTACATTAGCAGGGCCAAATCTTTTTAGGGGGCAATGCCTGAATAGTGGCGGCCAGGGGGCTCTTTCTAGGATCAGTCCTGAGCTGGGGAGAGCCTCTGCAGAGGCATTTAGCTTTCAGCTTTTGCCAACTGAAAGGGAAAGAGGAAGAGACTCACGTTGAATTTTCTCCATCTAGCCACTTCCAGGGCTGATTTGGTTCTCTCTTGAGGCCGATCCAAAAGACGTGGTCTCTTGTGAATTTCTTCACAAAATCCTTTTAAAAAAAGAAAGAAATAAAAGCTGTGCATGTTGGAACCTTGCGCTGCTAGATTACCAGCTGAATTTCTGAACTTTAATTAAAGTTATCTTTTGAACAGTAATTAACCCTAATAAAACATACCTAGTAGTTCTGTGGTGAGCAGCAAAATGGTAGAAGCTGATTAACTTTTTAAAAGTAAATTTAAAACCTTTTTTAGAAGGCAAAACTCTTGATTTTCCTAGAATCGATCTTGGCAATGTCTAGTTCTACTGTTTGCTTCCTGATTCTATCTCTGTACTGAAATTCACATCTATTAATCATTTGAGGATAGTTATCAGATGTTTCTAGGCAGGAAAAAATGAAAGAAGCAGATGACAGAAATATTTCAATGATATTCTTGGATTTTTAATATTCTGCTTTGTAAAACTGGCAGATTTTGGAACCTGGAGAAGATTAAAAGTCTTTGGAAGTTTTTATTCAGAAACGCATCTAAGGAAGTTTTTTTGTTTTTTTTTTAGCAATATTAGGAGGAAAATATTTTACCTTTTTCATGTTGTACAACAGCGTGCACCATCAATGAAGCAACAATACTTCCATGGCGTCCAGTTACATTACTCACCATTTCCTTTGTAATGTTGGCTAGGAAAGCATTATGCAATGTACAGATGTTCTGACTCTCATTCTGGGTCTTTTCTTCTTCTGAAAATTTATAGCAACGTCTCTCATATCCAATCCAACCAGGTGGACATGTAACCGGTATACATTTTATTGCATTCCGTTGGTGGTATAATATTCCTAGAACAGAGAAAGATGGAAAGAGTAAACACTAATTTATCCAGTCCTGTTGTTATGGGTAAGGTGGGGCCCTCCTGCTGAATCCGAACCTGTGAGTGAGTTCTGATACAACCCAATCTAGATGAGAAGCCCCATGGTCTAGCAGTTGTAATGACCTCCATCCTGCAATCCTCAGATTAATAGAGACTATGGACCTGAGCAGTGATTTGCATGCTGGATTTGGATCAAAGATACCAGATGCAAATCCATTTATTCAGCCATGAAACTATTGGTGGGATTTTCCACTAATTTGACCAACCTATCACACATTTTGTCCACTTATTTCGCATTTATTGCTTCTGCCAGGAAATCACTACATAAATATATGTCCCACCCCCACTTTTCAAGCATCAAGACTTGTTCCAAACATTGGACCTGAATTTTCCTGTATTGGATGAAGTAGATTACAGTTGCTAAAAACTGGGTCAAAGCGAACTCTTATGTTTCTAATCGAACTGCATTCAGCTTCATGAAGTTATGTGTGAAGTAGCATTTAAAGGCAAAAGTACTGTACCAGGATCAGGATTCCTTACCCATCCCAAAGAAGAAACCGCCAAAGATGAGGTAAGAAATGATGACAATTCCAATCAATAGGTAAGAGGGAAAAGGTAGGCGAGAGAAACATCTGGATACTGGTTCTCCATGAGCTGAAAACCCAGGGGAAAAAAAATTATGTACAGTTGGGTCTGGTGAAGCAGGATTGGATATGCTACACTTCCCATCAGCCGAAAACGTGTGACTGGCAGGAACAGGCCTTCTCTGCTGTAGCCTTTGTCTTGTGGGCTGTTCCCCCAGAGATTAGAATGGCTCCAACCCTGCTAGCCTTTCCCAAGACATTACAAACTTGGCTAGGTACCTGGGCTTGGAGCTCGGAATGGGGTAAGAGCCCCATTTCTTGGCTTTACCGTTAGTTGATTAACTATCTTGGCTGATATTTCTATTTCTTTTCTGGGTGCTTTTACTGTTTCATTGGTTTTAATTATTTTAATGGTTCTATTATTAATATATACATTATATAATTTATATTTCTATATTCTAAAATTATAGAGCTATACTCTATTAAAAGATATAATTACACTCTAAAACTATAAATTATATTATAATTATATTCTAAAAAACGTATATTCGCCTTCATTCATTTAGAAGTATATGCACTCAGAGTCACTTGACTGAGTAGGGGAGCTATAGGAATTGAATAAATAAAATTGATGATGAGGAAACCTATATGAAAGGCTGCACAAGGGGTGAGATAAAACCGGCCTTTCAATTGCTTGACATAAACTACACACAGTCCCAGAAATAAATCCATTTTCCTCTTCTCCTTTTTGGAGCATCTTGGACAAGGAACATATCCAGACAGACCCATAGTAAAACCTGTACTTTTGTATATTCCGAGCAGACTTCCTGCTCCCTCCTGCACATTTGATGTAAATGACCTCTTAAAGCTTACTAGGATGACAGCCTAGATCTGTAATGACATTTGCTTCTTTATTTCTGTCCCATGAAACATTAAAATTCAGAAGTTTTTTGGAAGTCCAATTGGGGACACAGTACATGTTTTGAATTGCTCCATATGCTCCTGTGGCCATGGCTTAGACATTTCAATCCCTCATTTTGGGTAACTGGCTTCCAGATATTGATATTGGTATTACTACCTGCATCTTCCTCTTGTTCACCTGCAGATCCATTGGAAAGAGAGCTCTGCAGTTTTTTCTCCTCATCCATATTCATTATTCCTGGATTTGTATGATCTGGAATTGGAAATGAGGCTGTCACAAGAAGGAAGAAGGCCAAGATGCATACAGAAGCAGGCAAATTACTACTAATTTCAAAGAATCGCTTTTTATATATAGGATACAGCCTCTTGCAAAGCATGTAGTAGAAAGCAGAAAGTTTTTTTATTGTCATCAATAAATTGAGCAACTTTTTAGTAGAAGAGCAAAAAATAATAATCCAACGTTCTGTTATTTAGTTCATGTCAAAAGGGTTGACATGACTCCCCTTGTTAGCGGAATCCACACTGGTCTGAGAATCAGTGTCTCCACTAGATAATTGACAGTCATGCTGAAATTAATCAACTAAAATTGGTAAACTTCCTCAAACCCCCAAATAAGTTACCCAGACATAATCCATATATCAAAGGATAAGGTCTGCAAACACAGAGTTAATCAAATTAGGTCTCCCAGGGAAACCATGTATTCACAAGAATAAACATACATACAGGCAATTCTCACAACAGTTCAATTAGTGACCGTTTGAAGTTACAATGGCACTGAAAAAATGACTTATGACCATTTTTCGGACTTACGACCTTTGTAGCATCCCCATGATCATCTGATCAAAATTCAGATGCTTGGCAACTGGTTCATATGTATGACCGTTGCGGTATCCAAAGGTTACGTGATCCCTTTTGCGACCTTCTGACAAGCGAAGTCAATGGGGAAACCAGATTTATTTAACTGTGTCACTAACTTAACTGCAGTGATTCATTTAACAAATATGGCAAGAAATATCGTAAAATGGGGGCACAACTCACTTAACAAATTTCTCACTTAGCAACATCAATTTTATGGCCGTAGGCTACGGTACACAAGGTTGCGTCACCCTAGAATCTAAGTGTAACCCTAGAATCAGAAGTTGGAACCCCAAATTATTCTTCTGATACTATCATACTCTATTACTGTGCCAATTACCAGGGTGTATTTGATTTAAATCAAGTCAATTTAAATCACAATTTAAATCATGATTTAAAACACTAGTAAGAAGGCTTGATTTAAATCAACTTGATTTAAATCATAATTTTTAAAGAGCAACCGTCATCTCTGTCCGGCAGGAATTCCTCCTCCTGACCTGCTGTTGACTCACCAACAGTCCCAATATTGCAGAATATATAGCCTTATGCTACATAACTAAGCTCCCTTTCAATAAACTAAATGATTAATGTATCTTAAATAGAAAACTATTTTTAGATAGATTTTTACTCCAAAAGCATTTCATTAAAATAAATCTGATTTTAAAAAAATCCAATTTAAATTTAAAAAATCATTTATTTTTTTAAAATCATTTTTATCCACCCTGCCAATTACTCTATTGTATAGGTAAATTTTCAAAGGAAAACGGTAAGAAATATAATTTTCACCAATACAGCTAATATCCACTGCTATTGCAGAAGCTTTTGCCATTGGCACTAATGAAGAATTTTGCACAAAAATCTTGGATGGACACATTGCAAGGCTGCATATCCAGTTTCAGCAACCTTATCCACTCAAACCCTCCCATCCAAAGAAACCCTTAGGTCTGAATTGCTTACTGGAAAGTGGGTGCAGTCTTTCCCCAAATATAGGTAGTCCTCAACTTACAGCCACAATTGAGCCCAAAATTTGTGTTGTTGCTAAATGATTCACGTCTTAAGTGAATTTTGTCCCATTTGACAACCTTCCTTGCCACGGTTGTGAAGTGAATCCCTGCTGATGTAAAGTTAGAAACACAGTTGTGAAGTGAATCCGGCTTCCCCACTGACTGTGTCTGTCAGGAGACCGCAAAAGGGGGTCGCTTGACCCCGGGACACCGCAAGGTTCATAAATATAAACCAGTTGCCAAGCGACTGCATCTGTCGTCAAGTGGGAAAAACGGTCATAAGTCACTTTTTTTCAGTATCGTTGTAACCTCGCTCAGCAAACGAACTCTTACTTCCGGTAACCATGCCGCTTCTCCAAAGTTGCAAAGGCTCAGCCCGAAGCAGCCGTTCCCCCGCTCCCCTCCGCTGCGCCCACCAGGGAAACCTCCGCAACTGACCGCCAAGCAACGCCTGGGAGGGAAGCGGCCCCCCGTAAGCCCCGAAGACCTGGGGAGCTCTTGGCCAGCCTCGCCGCTCTTCAATTATGCCCCGCCCGTCTCTTTCGCACAGCGGCCCGTTATGATGACGTATGTTTACCGGGAACTGCCGCGTAAAATGAGAGCGCCGTAGCCTCGGGCTGGCTCCGGCGTTGGCCAAAAAAAAAAAAAAAAGCGCTCTGGCTAGTACAGCCCTCCCGAGCCTGCGCAGAGAATCCTCCGTTGCAAAAACACTGTCAGCTCCCTGGAGAGTTTATTTTCCTCCTTCCTCGTAAAGGAAGATCCGGATCCAGGCTGGATCTGTGTCTAAAGAAGTGACTTTCATGGGTATGAAACACCCAGCCCAGGTTTCTAAAGCAGATGGGCTTCGATGCAAGGGGGGAGGGGGGGAGAGCGCCTGTTTTCTTCTTTACTATGTACATTTACAGGGATTTAGATAGAAAAAGCAGCCACTATTCATGCCACCCAGTAGAAAGCTGCTTCCTTTCCTTCTGATTCCTTGTAAGTCTCCATGTTTACTCTGCTTCTCCCCCAGAACTGTTTTCTAGCACAGTCTGTTCTCTACCAACTCCTGCCCCGCTTCCCTTCCCCCTCACAGCTTTTCAGAGAGAGAGAACGAGAAGAGAGAAGGGAGGGAAGGAGGTTGGGAGAGGGGAAGAGGAAGAGTAAAGGGGGGAGAAAGAAGAGAGGAGGAAGGAAGTTGGAAGGAGGGAGAGGGGAAGAGGGAGAGAGATAGAGAGGGGGAGAGGGAGCGAAAGAGGGAGGGAGAGGGAGATTGAGAGAAGGGGGGAGGGAGTAGGAGAGGGAGGTTGGAGGGAGGGGGAGGTTGAGAGGGGGAGGGAAGTTGAGGGAGGGGGAGAGGGTGGGAAGGGGGAGAAAGGGGGGAGAGGGACAGAGAGGGGGAGGAAGAGGGAGATTGGGAGAGGGGTTGACAGAGGGAGAGAGAGAGGGAGGGGAGAAAGAGGAAGGGAGAGAGGAGAGGGGGAGGGAAAGAGTGCTAGAAGGGGAGAAGGGAGACAGAAGGAAATAGGCTGAAGAGGAATATGGAGCGCTCAAGGGTGGACGGGAGCCCAGTACAGGCACAAGTACCCCTCCCTCTACCTCCCCCGCACTCACTGAACTATCCCATGCTTCTCTTCCCGCCCCTTGGGGGCCCCACGGCGGCTTGGGCCATCAACCTACCAGCCCCGACCCAACCCCGTCACTGATTGCTCCTTACCTTTCCAAGACCCACAGAGTTAAGCATATCCGAAAAGGGAAGGGAGAGAGGCCGCTCCATTGTGCAGCCATCTTTTCCTGAGACGCTGGCTTTTTTCCTGGCGAGTTGCCAGCCTTCCCTCCACCCAGCCAGAGCCCGACAAAATGACTGTTCAAAACGCCCCTTTTCTTCTGCTCCAACGCTTTCAGCCGCTTTTCCCCGCCTCCTTCTGGATGTTTTCACCCCTTCCACCGCCAAAGCTTCCTTCTTGGGCAAAGGGCCAGGCAGGGCGTTCTTACAAACTCCATAGCTTTTGGGTTTCACTTTGGTGACTTAGAATCGCCAAGCATGCATTCCTAAAGGAGGTCTGCTTCAGTGGCAAAGCCTATGGCTTTAAGCAATTGCTTGCTTTCCAGAGGGAGAGAGAGAGAGATTACCAAGGCCTTTTTATTCCTCTTGTTACGTACAAGAATATTTACAGGAATTTGAGAGAGAAAACAACCATTTCTACCAGCTTTCTTTCTCCTGTCTCTTGAAAGTCTCCAACGGCCTCTCCCCCAGTTTTTTTTCCAGCACCCCTCCAGTCTGTTGTTGTCTTCCAACTCCTCCCTTCTCTTCCCTTCCTCTCCACTTTTCACGCAGAGAGCTACCTTAGGTAAGAAGTGTTAGAAGAAATATCCTTTTGGGTTCAGTTCCAAGTGGGGAAAAAGACACTGGAAGCATGGTGGCTGTTTGGAAAGATGGTTTAATGGTGGACAGGACCACGTGGCTTGGAGCTCCAAAGTGAAAAGGATGATCACATGCTTCAAGATGTTGGGTGAAGGAAAAGAAGTGGGAAGAGGCTGAGAGACCCCTTAGTTATATACCCTATGTTGGGACCCACCTTGTTTCCTGTTCCTGTTTAAGAGATGTATCCCATTGGCTGTCAAACTCCCAGGGGCAGGGGTCTTAGCTAACTTTGTAAGGTTTGTCTGAAGCACATGGCTTCACCTGAGTGTGGCTGATACAATCTTCCTAGGCCAAATGGTGATATGGGCAGAGACCTTTGTTGTGTAGAATACTCTGGTCCAGCCCTTAATGGTGGAGGTAAGCTTCTGCTTCTAATTCTCTTTTTAGGGGAAATATTTTGCCTTTTTAATATTTCCTAGGATATTTCATTCTAGTCATCTGCTAGTTGTTGATTTCCTTCTGCCTGGGAAGGAGGTTTGCTGAAGCCAGTGATGTTTTTAAGAGTTTTCCACATGTTTTCTGGTTCATTTGTTGATTCTTTAACTTTTCAGAGTAGCTTCTTTTTGCTGCTCTGATCTCTCTTGTTAATATGTTCCTGGCCTGATTGTATAGCATTGTGTCACCTTTTCTGTAGGCTTCCTCTTTGGAACGACGTAGCTGCTTCAGTTTAGCTGTGAACCAAGGTTTACAAAGGAGAGGGGTGGGTTCTAACTTCCTACAGAAGGAAATAGGCTGAATGAATAAACTGGGCTTAAAGCCTTGCTTTGCACATTTGTAGATCTGGACTGTCTTCCCTTTAAGTTGACACTGTGTGGGATGTCCCTCTCCCTGGGTTTGGGACTCAGTCCTTCTCAGGCTGGGGCTTTCAGGTCTATTTGCAGGTAGCTATTTTTATGTCAGTTTTGATCTCTGCATGAAGCACATGCTTCAGTCTTGAGATGATAAAACTTGAGATATGCACCTCAAAGGATAGTCCCACCAAATGCCTGGAGAGATTTGTTTTCTTCAGTCACCATTTTTCTGCACAGTCATTCCGAAAGTGAGGTCCTTGGTGCTCTTAGATTTAGACTTGAATAACTTTGTCACTTTAAATGTACACTAATAGGTATACATTAAAATGAAATTTCATTGCATACAGCTCTCAAAGGATCACCCCCTCCAATATACATAAACATGACATAATTATGCATATACCCTTATATATGACACAAACAATAGTCTAGTTCAGATGTATACATGTACATGGTGAGAAAAACGAATCTTGCAAGTTTATCAGACGGATGGCATACGGAACAAAGCTGTTACAGAATCAGGAAGTCCTGCTAGAAATACTTTGAAACCTCCTCCCAGAGGGGAGCAACAGAAACAGACCGTGAAGTCGGTGTGTGGGGTCTCTAACAATGTTTTGAGCTCTAAGCACATAGCGCTTATAAGCAGCATCCTGAATACCAGGAAGGGAACTTCCTATAATCTTCTCGGCTGTTCTTACCACTCTCTGTATGGGCTTTCTATCTGAGGCACTGTTACCACCAAACCAAACAGTGATGCCGTTTGTTAAAATACTCTCAATTATGCCTCTGTAGAAAGTGGCCAGGACAGAAGGAGAAAGATGTGCTCTCCCCATCTGACACAGGAAATGCAGGCACTGGTTTGCACAGTTCACTAAGGATGACATGTGGAGAGACCAATTCAGATTGTTATGTCTGAGCTTGGTTGTTTTCTTGCAGACATTTCATTACCCAACTGTGGTGCCTAGAGGCTCTGGAGGCAGGTTGGGGGACAAAAGGTTTCAGCTGCATCTTGGTTAAGGTCGAGTGACTTTGGGTACATGGAGCCTTAGGATCCAGGAGTTTACATGGGGCTACCCTTGAAGAGCATTCGGAAGTTACAACTCACACAAAGTGCAGCTGCATGAACAGTCTTAGGGGCCCTAAGGTAGCCCATGTTACACCACTGTTGTGCAAACTACACTGGTTGCTGGTTTACTTCAAGGTCCAATTCAGGGGGTAGGTTACCACCTTTAAAGCCCTGGATCCAGGTTATTAATTTGTAACATTAGCTGTCCATCTTCTCCCACACGGTAATTCTGGCCAACTTACAATATAATATTGTATTTATCTTTTTATAAATTACAGTTTTATTTTTTAATATAAATACAATACTATAAAATCAATTTAGCCAAAAAATGGGGAGAGGGATTACAATGAGAGGGGGAAAGGGTGGGATCTGTTGTTAAACAATCAACCATCCGCAACATAAATCCCCTCCATTGGTGCCTCAATCCAACTGGCAGAGAGAAGTATTTTAAGCTCTTACAGAAGGTCAGGAGTGTTGGAACTGACTTCACTTTGGGCTATCCCCACCTGCGCCGGCAAAAGGAACATGCTCCAGATCCCATCGGCCAAGGAATTCCAGCTGGCAAGGTCCAGAAGAAGAACTTTGTCTACCATGGCTTCCGCCCTTTGGAACAAGCTGTCCCTCGAGGTGAAATATGAGATATTTCACCCCCAACATACACGCAGCCTCTTGGCCTTCTGAACAGGCCTGAAAACCAGACTCTGCCAACCAGCTTCCAGTTTTCCTGCCAGCTTCTCTTTGGTGACTTTTCAAGAATTCTTCTTTTCTTTTGACCGTACCAATAATCTAGTTTAGTCCAATCCAGTCCTTCTGACCCAGTTCCCTTCTTGCTAGCAGGGAGAAAGAACTGAGGATGGGGAATCAAATCATTTAGGATTTCTCTGCTGTTTTTCGGTAAATTATTTAATCACCTCATTTTTCCTTGGTTGAATCGGATCTTTAATCCTTGCTTTATTCCTCCCTTTAGATCTGTTTCTGGGTTGAGGATGGGAGAAAGCATTTTAGCAACCTGACACTTGCCAATTAGTCTGCTGAGTCGATCCCAGCCAGTGAGGAAAGAGACGGAAGGGCGGGCAAATGGGCTTTCTGCATTTTGCTTGGGGGGGGGGGGGGGTGGGG